GTGACTTACCTCCAGAACCTGAGCAGACGGTCCAACCTGAAGCCAGGAGAGCGACCAGAACCAGCTGCTGCATCTTGAAGCGTCCCTGACTCAACCGGCAGACACTGAGACTCGGTGTGATTGCAATTCCTGTGGGTGGGGGGTTCTTCTACTTATCTATCACCATCCACCGACAAAAAAGAAAGCGTGGCCCCTCCCCTCTGGGGCATCGCCTTGAATAAAGCTCTGCAGGGGAGATCTCCGGGGGGGGGGGGGGGGGAATGTTAGGTATTAATGCTGATTGAAACTTCCTGAAAATCAATGGGTGCTGCATGGGTAATGAGCTAGGGTGTGTGTGTGTGTGTGGGGGGGGGGGGGGGGGGGGGGGGGGGGGGGGGCAGGTGAACCTAGGAGGTTTAAATGCGGAGCATTTTGGACATAAACGTTATGTTGAAGAAAATCCTTCAGATCCTGGTTAAAATGTCTGACTTTATTTTAAATAAAGTTGCCCTTTTAACCAAAGTGACTACTGAGGCATTCAATTGGAAATCTTTATTTTTGTTGTGAAGTCACGATCCAGGAGGGAAACCCAGCCACCCCTTTCCCAAGCTCCACCAGAAGGCATTCCCAGACTGTGTTCTCTCAGAATCAAAAGGGTTTTATTGCCAAATGTACGGGAATCACAACATTAAGAAACTGCTAATTTCAGTGGCTGGAAACCTCCACAGGGAGGCATCCTGATCAGATGTCCAAAACACCTCAAATAATTCCTTTTGGTGAGGAAGAGCAGCAGGATGATGGTTCTCCTTGCTTCATCTCTTATAATCTCTTATTTACAGTAAGTATACAAAAATATGTATACGACTACAACTTAGGGGCTCATTTATGCGATGTCAGGAATGCAGATGCGTCAAGTAAACAGGTGCAGGAACAACCAATCACACATTAGCAAGTATCAGCAGAGCCAACAGATGAGCTCATGGACGTTTTTAATGGGAAACAAGCTTCAACACAAGCAATTGTTTTCTACTTGGTCCTAATGCTCAACTACTATCTATTGGTGTTTAGTGGGGTGATGGTGGCACAGGAGTTACGTGCTCGCCCCGTAATCGGAAGGTTGCAGGTTTGAGCCCCGCTCAAGCTGTCACTGTTTTTGTTTCCATGAGCAAGCTACCCCCTTACCTGCTGTTGGTGGTCCGAGGGACCGGTGGCGCCTATGCTCGCAACACATCCTCACTCCCAGCGCGTCAAAAACAAACGCTTGGTCAGCCACCCTCCGGGTCAGACCCTTGACGTCAAACGTGTCCTTTTTCCTCACTTGTGTGTGAAAAGGGTTTTTTCCCTTTTCTGACTGCAGAGCCCAATGCAGCGTAAAACTGACGCGATGGGATATCCGCTGATGCGGCACCGAACCACCTCATTTAACTGCACCTAAACATTAAAGGGACTATATGGAAGTTTGACAGCCAAAACATGTATAGAAATAATAAATGTCTTCTTCATACATTCTCCTGCAATGCCCTGGTCCTGTAGAATGAGCCCTGGCATTCTTACTGTGATTGCCTGTTTTTCTGTAAAATCACAGAAAAAGAGAGATGCTCGGGTCGAGCAGGCTGCTTCATGCGCGTTCACGCTCAGGCATAGCCCTCCGAACCATTCTTAAATGGTACAGATACAAAAGTTGTCACTGGCGCATTGGCTCGCCTAGGTAGACGTCAGACTTTCGGGCAGACGACACGGGTTCGATTCTGAATGTGAACATAGTTTATTTAGAGTTCCTTTTTTTCATTAATGGTATATTTTTTTACAGTAAGATGCCCAAATTTTTATTTGAGACTCGCTGAACGGCATTGAATTCACAGATAAAAAAGATGTGGGTTCAACTTTCATTTTGGAACAATTTTTCAAAAGCATGCAGGAGGACTGACCCATCTTAAACCTTTGTCGGCTGTGCTGAAGAGAAAGGTATACAGAACCAAATTATTTAATTAATTAGCTGCGTGTTCTCCTGTCCTCTGGGCCACACACACACACACACACACAAACACACACACACATACACACACACACACACACACACACACACACACACACACACACACACACACACACACACACACACACACACACACACACACACACACACACAGGACTGTCTCAGCTGTTATTTTCGTTAAGGAGTGTGCACGTACAGCATGTGCGCCTCGTGCACGAGCCTACTATTGAAGCTGCCGTTACGCTTTTGGCCTGAGGGGGCAATCGCGAGCATAAAATTTCAAAACTCTGCAATGTCCCTTTAAGGTTTTACTATTTATAACCTTCCCCTCTCCCTCATCCTAACCTTAACCCTCATTTAACTGCACCTAAACCTTAACGTTTTGCTATTTATAACCTTCCCCTCACCCTCATCCTAACCTTAACCCTCTTGCTACCTAAAACGTTACTCTCACTGTAATCAACCGTTTGTTTCCCATGCAGTCCGACTGTGAATTTTTGTATTTGCTGCCCAAGGGGAACGTTAGAACATACCATCTGGCGAGGGGGGAGGTTACAAATACCCTCTACTTTTAACTTTCACCTTGGTAGTTGAAACCTCCCCCTCGCATTACCTCGGTCCAAACCCGACCAATGACGAGCCGGCTTTTAGAGCGACCGACACATCACTACTGTGTTAGCTAGCAAGATGGTTAAGGTTAGCATAGGGGTGAGGGGAAGGTTAAATAAGAGTATAAGGTTAGGGTGAGGTGCAATGAGCTTGTTTGGTGCCCCAGCAGCGGACATCCCATCGCATCAGTTTAACGCTGCATTGGAATCTGCAGTCAGAAAAGGGGAAAAAAAAAAAACCTTTTCGCACATAAGTGACGAAAAAGGGCACTTTTGGCGTCAGGGGTCTGACGCGGAGGGTGGCTGACCAAGCGTTTGTTTTTGACGCGCTGGGAGTGGCAGCCTCGCCTCTGTCAGTATGCCCCACCCAGGGCAGCTGTGGTTACAATGTAGCTCATCCCCAATTGTGTGTGAATGGGTGAATGTAAAGTGCCTTAGGGGGTTCCAAGACTCTAGAAGGCTCTATATCAAATACAGACCATTTAATATTGTTTTTGGACGGTAAAAAGTGCAGGGGACAAAAACTAACTTTGGCAAAACATGTAAACAGCTCATAATCTAATTGGCTACTATAAACCAAAATAAAGTCAAAGCACAAAACCAATAATTATTTGGTGCACTGTTATCAGTAATTATGACATTTTCCATGAATAAATGTATAAATTATTTATGATAAAGTTAAGATTTTTTTTCTGACATTGTAAAGTCAGGATTCTTTTAGAAAAGAGAGGAGGGTGCACTTTGAATGAAGTAGAGGTCATTTCCAGGCATTTTAGTGCATTTTAACGTTTTGTTAAATTGTAATTACTTTAATATTTTTGAACTAACAACAGAAATAAGTGAGCTTTAAAACTGAAATAACATCAAAAGCAAGAAATTAAATTTCTGGCTTAGTTTGTTGTTTTGTTTGAACCCAATAGTCTCATTGTCTGACTTTCAGAAATGGTTTGGAACATGCACCAATCTATATTTAGTGCTGAAAATACTAAAATATTATAAAATGTATAAACTTCAAAATGTCATCTTACTTTCTATTGCTCACAAATTATTCATTTATTTATATATTTGTTTGTTTATTTTATTTATTTATTTATAAAATATAAGGACAGCAGTAGCTCAGGAGGTAGAGCGTGTTGTCCAGTGATCGGAAGGTTGCAGGTTCGATCCCGGCTCCGACCAGAGAATTCTGCTGTTGTGTCCTTGGGCAAGACACAACAGCCTTGCCTATTGGTGGTCGTCAGAGGGAACGGGGGCACCAGTGCTAAGCAGCCTCACCTCTGTCAGTTTACCCCAGGGCAGCTGTAGCTACATTGTAGCTTATCCCCACCAGCGTGTGTGTGAGTGGGTGAATGGCTGATTGTGTTGTGAAGAGCCTTGGGGGGTCGTAGGCCATTTACCATTTATTCTTTATGTAACCAGGAAGGTCCCACTGACATTGAAAACCTAATTTTCAAGGGAGTCCTGGCCAAAAGGCAGCAAAAGTTACAGTTACAAATTTTTGAGTAACGGAATGAATATATTGTACATTTTTATTGTTCTAGATGTTTTACGGTCTCAGTTTTTGGGGTAGCACCTGAGGTGGCCAGCCCTTCTGCAACAACCCACCCCCCACCCCCATTGGTTCCCCTCTGCACACGCCCCTGGAAAACATGAAGAAGAAGCCAATTAAGATAAAAAAAAAACATGAGGCGCTTCACAAGAACAAAGAAACGGATTTAAAAAATACCATAGAAAAAATGGGAAAAAGGAAAATTTTAGATAAAAAAATGTGAAGGAATAAAAAAAAATGTATAAGAAAAGGTAATCACAGGATCCCGATAAAGACAGCACTGGTAGAAACAGCAGCATAAAGAGAAGGTAGTGAAAAGGAATCAACATCAACAATAGGAAATAGAAACTATATTTACCTTATGGCATACCTTAATGGCATTTCATTCTAATGCATGACTTAAAACAAGGACGTGATCTTAAAAAACAGGTAGCTTTTTATATAAAGACTTCCAGCCTGACATGCAGAAATGGGATTGACAAGAGACACTTCTCTTTTAAAAGCTTCATGTTAACGGGGGAACCTTTTAAAAAAGTTTTTATATTTTTAGGCCAAGTTCACATTTAAAGATGTCAGGGTAGTGCCAAGCATTGCAAAAAATCTCAACACTATTGCTGAACTTTTCATCAAAAAGAGTTAGAGCTGTCACCTTTGTTTTCAGTCACCTTGCAGAGCCCTAGCTCACACTCGGTTTGAATCATTGATCGTGATGAGTTAGTAGAGTAAGCAACATAAGCAAAAGTGTCTCCTAAAAACCATCTGGTGCTGTTCATCTGAAAACGTTTCACCTTTGACAAATCTGGAATGAGTGTTAGAATATCAAGTCTCAAGGGTTTTCTTTTTTGCGTCTTTTTTATTATTAAGGGAACTGATACATCAGAATCTTCTCTCAAATCTTTGACTTTACTGTGTTTTTTATTAGAAAGTTTATATAAAAACAAAATGAGTAATTATTTGGTTTTCAAATATAAAATAGTAAACTAGAAGGTAAGCTATTGTCTACATAAAACAATTCAAAGTAGAAACACTTAAATAACACTGAATAAACCGTGATGTAATCAAACAGAACACATTGATAAACTATAAATGTGAAAATAAGGGCATTTAAACTAGAATTTAGTAGGTATAGAGGTTGTACATTTGGCTCAGATGATGGTACAAAGCCGTGATGTATCTTGTAAACTTTTCGTCTTTGGTTTCTGCTTCTGCGGGATAGTGTCGCCCCCCTGTGGGGATTTTGTGGCATTGTAACAAACACACAAATTCAGAAAAAGCAAACACTCCATGATTTATTGAACAATAAACAAATAAATAAACCTTAAATTTACTCTTTAAATGATAAAACAGGGCAGATTTAAACCAAAGCAATAAAGGTTTGAGATTACATCTTAAGAGCTATTTGGCTTGTTTAGCATGTAGCTGGACAGTGTTGGTATTAGGACGTTTTCACAGAAGAAGTATGCACTCTTTATGTAATACCACTCTTTAAGTAAGAAAAATTTAATTACATTTTAGTCTAATATTTACTCTTAAAAACAAGGTGGTTTCAAACCAAAGTAGAGACGTTTGGGAACAGCTAGTTTAACAGCTAGTGGACTCTCTTGTCACTTTTCATCTTTGTTTTCTGCTTCTGTGGGACAGTGTCGCCCCCTAGCAGGAATTTTGATGAAATGACAACAAACTTAATTATATAAAGAAAACGGAAAGTATGGACACTCTAATATAACACCACGATTTCAGTGAGAAATTTTAAATCAAATTAACACGTTATTCCAATCTTTACTCTAAAAACACTGAGCAGCTTTAAACCAAAGTATGAAATGAAGTTAGCTAGCTAGTAAGCTGCACAGAAATGAAAGTCAGTAAACTCTCTTGTAACATTTCCTCTTTGTTTTTTGTTTTTTTGTTTTGTTTTGTTTCTTTGGGACAGTGTTGCCCTCTTTCGGTGATTCTGTGACATTGCAACAAACGTAATTTGCACGAATTCAAAAAATATGAACACTAATGTTATTTCACGAATTAATCTTTACTCTAAAACAGTGTGGTTTAAAACAAAGTTGGAGACATTTGAGAACAGTTGGCTTATCAGGTTATTAAACGGCTCGGAAACATAAAGCAGTGAACTCTGCTTTCTGATATGGCTGGAAAGCGTTACCTCTCTTGCAGGGATTTGTTGGTATTACAACAAACGTGATTTTCACAGAGAAAGTATGGACTCTATGCAATACTACTATTTGAACAAAATTAATTTACTCTTTAATCAAAAATTTCTTCGGAAAAACAAGGTGGTTTTAAACTAAAGTAGAGGCGTTTGATAGCAGCTAGTTTAGGGGGTTATTAAAGCAGTGAATTCTCTTGTAACTTTTAATCTTTGGTTTCTGTGTCTGAAAGATGTGTCGCCCTCCTGCGGAAATTTGGTGACATTACAACAAATAAACGTCACACACACAAATTCAGAAAATATAAATGCTTATGTAATACCGGGATTTATTTGAGCAACTTCTAATCAACACTGCAATCGAATCTTATTCTAAAATCAGGCGTTTTCAACCAAAGCACGAAACATTTGAGAATAGCTAGTTTGTTTGAAGCACTTTTTATCTTGAGAGGTACTTTATTAAAAATCGTTTCCTCTTCTTAGTGAGCCGCACGTAAATCAGTGACCCCTCTTGAAACTTTTCATCTTTGGTTTCTGCTTTTGTGGGACAGCGTCACCCTCTTAAAAAATATATCTAATGTAACTGAATTAGAAAAGATAAGTTCAATCAACACTTTAATCAAACCATCACTCTGGGAAGTTTTAAACTACAGTTTTTAGGTATTTATTTTGTATTTTTAAACCAAATTGGGCATTTGAGAATAGCTAGCTTAGAGCTCTTTTAACGTTGGTTTAGGTTTCTTACAGACAATGTCGCCCTCTTGCGGGGATTTGTTGATATTACAAGAAACGTAAAGTACAATATTAATAATATTAATATCGATGCATACAACCAGCGACTATAAAAACAGCAAAAGTACAACCAAAGTGTACACCGCATCCACACATTAAAGGGGCATTATGGAAGTTTGACAGCCAAAACATGTATAGAAATGACAAATTTCTTCTTCATACATTCTCCTGCAATGCCCTGGTCCTGTAGAATGAGCCCTGGCATTTTTACTGTGATTGCCTGTTTTTCTGTAAAAGCACAGAAAGAGAGCTGCTCGGGTCAAGCAGGCTGCTTCATGCGCGTTCACGCTCAGGCATCGCCCTCCGAACCGTTCATTGAACGTTGTTTCAGCTGTCATTGAGGATAGAAATATTACAGATAAAGAAGATGTCACTGGTGGTTTAGCTTGTCTAATAAGATTGCAGACTTTTGTGCAGAAGACCTGGGTTCAATTCTGGATGTGACATAATTGTTTTAGTTTCCTTTTTACATTAATGATATATTTTTTTACAGTAAGATGCCCAAATTTTTATTTGAGACTCGCCGAACGGCATTGAATTCACAGATAAAAAAGATGTGGGTTCAACTTTCATTTTGGAACAATTTTTCAAGCAAGGGAAGGGAATGATCTGAGCATGCAGGAGGACTGACCCATCTTAAACCTTTGTCAGCTGTGCTGAAGAGAAAGGTACAGAACCAAATTATTTAATTAGCTGCGCGTTCTCCTGTCCTCTGGGCCACCCACCCACCCATCCACACACACACACACACACACACACAAGGGACTGTCTCAGCTGTTATTTTCGTTAAGGAGTGTGCACGTAAAGCATGCGCGCCTCGTGCATGAGTCTCCTATTGAAGCTGCCGTTACGCATTTAGCCTGAGGGGGCGAGCTTAAAAATTCAAAACTCCGTAAAGTCCCTTTAAGGTTAAATAAAACTATTTGGTTTTAATGATGGCCACCAGGTGGCACTGTGCTTCTTTGGACTTGGATAAAGGAATTGTCAATCCTGATGAAGGCCTCTGACCGAAAGCTTGACCAATAAACTCCTACATCTCAGATTGAAGTGTGTAGATTATTATTTTTGTTTATGCTTTTATCTTAGTAAAGTCATCTTTTAAGGCATCTCTGGCAGTAATTAGCTGCTCTTTGTGTTCGCCAATGATGACTTATTTTTACAATCCTAAATGTAAAAGAAATTTGAACTGCGGCTTTTTTTTAATGAAAAAAGAATTTTAACAAAATTAATCTTACAGCGCCATCCAGGGGATCAAACACCAGAACAGCTGCGAGTGCTCCCTTAGTTGTAATGAAACTAAAAAAAATTAATAGGAAAGTTTAAAGCTCATGAGATCACGGTTACTCGTCTCTCTTCAAATTTGACCCTTTGCTAAATGAAGTTTTGGGACTTAAGTTTTCATGGAAATGGATGAAAGTAAAGCATCGCTAGAGGGAATTGATCTTTGATATATTCTTTTATTTAACCAATGGGATTGAACTTTTACAGTGCATTTTCTTTACAACAGTTATCAAGAGCCACCACTACTGATCAGATAGCTGTATGTTACATTTTTTCAGCTCCTTTTGAAGATTTGACTTCATCAATACCGTGCAAAAACTCCCAAATATTACACAATAGATAACCACAAAGGTTTACTTATTCATTAATATCCCATTGTTCTGTTTATCTAACTCAGCGATTTGTTAATCCAGAATTGTCTCAAGTGTTATAAAGCAGCTAAATGTATGCACCATTAAGTCAAACACAGATGAGGCCAATCAGAAACCTGCTGCTGTTCAGAGGAAAGAAAAAGGCTTAAAAATTAGACAAAACTAAATATGGCACAATTGGAACATCCAGTAGACGAAACATTTCTTCAAGGGAGTTGTTAAAACAACCTCAACAGAATGAAAAATAAATCTAGGTTTTCTGCTCGTCTTCTCTCGAGCGGTCTGCATCTCCAGCTCGGAGTAGAATGGAGGTTGAGCTTCGTGCAGACACTAAAGGCTGAGCACAGACCTACAAGAGACTCTCTCAGTCACGTGACAGAAAACCAACAGCACTTTTCATTTTGTCCTTTACAGATCCCTGCATCTATTCTGTCTGCACACAGTCCTCACAACGGTGATGTAGCCACCTGGCTGCACTGGAGGAAAGCATCGATAGACAGAACCACACGGACGGTGCGTACACAGAACTTTGAGAACACGTCGTAGCAATAAACATTTACATAAATCCAGGTGAACATGAACTCGATCCAGTCATCCCAGCATGTTACATTCCAGCTCCAAGAAATAAGATAAAAAAAAGCAAAGTAAACAGCAGATTTCTCCCTTTTATACTCAAGTTTGGTCTCCATCAAATTCACAACAGCTAGTAGTGCACAAAATAAGAATACAAAATTAGACTTTTAAATACTGTAGCAGCAACTGCTCTTTTTTTCTCTCTTTTAAAGATGAAAGCCTCCAGTAGTGATGGTGAAGGTTTCAAAGTCCCCGGTGCGTGGAGGGGAGAGCGATTGTCCTCTGAAGAGCAGGACAGTGCAACTGTTGAGGAACATAGGTGGGTGGACAGGTTGGAGATGTGTCTCAGAGAGGGACACTGTTAGGAGGACTGAGCCATGTGGGGCAGCAGGACGCTGCAGCACTCCAGGCTGAGAAAGGTCCAAACAGAAAGGGGCTGTTCTGCATGAACTGCCTTCCTTCCTCTGAAATCACCTACTCTACACGTGCTAACATGCTCCCAACTCGTCCCCTTCCAGTCTCATGGCGTCTGTTTAAAAATGGAGCCTCGCAAAGAGAAACACTCCATCCTCGTCGCCCCCTCCTCCGCCGAACGACAGCAGGTTGAGGTCGCAACAAACCGCACTCAGCTCATCGGTCTGAAACAAGCAGGACAGAGCGGGGGCTGACCACGCTTCACTGCTCTTCTCTCAGCTGGACGCTGTGGCGATAGCCTTCTTGAGCTGCTGGCTGCGGATCTCACGTGTGCGGGACTCTAGAAGCAGGTCGTAACACGTGTTGCACACCAACACCGGGTCGTACAGCTGCTGGTCCGGGATGGGCAGCTTCAGGTGACAACAGTCTTTACAGAACACATTACCACAATTCCTGAAGGAACAGAGTAGAGGAAAATGACATTACGGTTAAATGAAAGTCCTCTTGCCTCTAACAGCTCTGCTGAATTGATCAAAATTTTTCTTTCAGTTTTACTTTAAAAAAATCAGATTTTTAAAGTATGTCTTCCACATAAAGATAACGCTAATGTAAATTAGCACTTAGCGATAATGAGTTAATCTGTCAGATTGGCTAATTCATTTCCAGTCATCAGGATAACTGTGGGTATAAGCGGATTTGTAAAGTTAATGAAGCTCACCTGCAGTGGTGACGTCTCTTGGCTATCCAGAACTCACAGTCACAGTTGAAGCAATGGGAGGCCATGTGGTCAGGCACCCACCTCGTGACCTACACACACACACACACACACACACACACACACACACACACACACACACACACACACACACACACACACAGAGCAGATATTAAGGAGGTGCGGTTGTCCAGCGGGGTGTCGTGTTAGAGAGAGAGAGATGGGTAAGAGCTGCTGACCTCCGTGTCTCTGCGCTCCACTCGGTCCCAGCTGCCTTCAGACAGGCGGTCCTCACTATGAGTGGACAGAGAGTCCTCCTCATTGCTGTTGTCCGACTCCCGCAGACACGTCTGCAGGAGACACCACAAGAGCCTTTTTAGAACTATTTAGAAAACCAAACACTTTGTTTTGTGGCTTAGTTACTCACAATGTCATCTTCGTAGTCGATATCTGGTTCAGAGGGAGGGGTCTCGTACTGTTTACTCTCCAGTCTCATCTGCAGCTGTCGCACCTGCTGCCGCAGCATCTCCACCTCCTGCTTGTAACCAGCTTCGATCTGACGCAGTCTTTGCTGCACCGCGTCCATCGGCACTGGCAGCCCGTCGTCGTCGAGGTAAGCTGGGGTCTGGGTTGGGGGTGGGGAGCTGGAGGTGGGGGGTGAGGAATAAGTTATGGGCAGGAACTGATGGCCTGCCAGTGAAAAGCTGCTGAGAGCAGCGACAGCTGGGGCACACAGGCCATTGTAGCCTGCAGTTCTGGCTGCTAGCACCATCCCAGCCTGCTGAGTGCTGCTGGGACAGCACAGGGCCTCCCGGCGGCAGCACTGGGCTCCAGAGGCAGTGGCGAAACCCTGCATACGCAAGAGTCTACTGGCAAGCCGGCGACCTTGGTATATGTTGGGTTGCAGGGCTCGGATGACACTAGTGTGGCTGCAGGCTGACTGGACCAGACCCTGGACACTGTCCCAGTGAGAGCCAAGCAGGGCCAGTTCAGAGACCTGGCTCTGGGAGCCTATGTGATGAGTGGATACCTGGGGACAGTCTGAAGAAGCTGCCAGCACTGCGACTGCGCTTCCTTTAACCACATCCGTTCTCATATCTTCTTCTTTCTGGGGATGAACATGCTCCTCGTCAGTAAAACGATTCTGGGGAAGCTGCTGGATTGCAGCAGAAGGTAAGGTGGGAGGAAGCTCTCCCTCATCTGTGAGAGTCTCAGTGGAGTCCTCCAGTGGAACCATCTGCTGCTTCAGAGCCAGCAGGCTGGCAGGTTCTGGGAAGCTGTTTGTTGGTCCATCAGTGTCACCATTCAGCAGAGGGGACAACACGTTGGCTGCAGGGTGAGTGTTCTTGCAGGGGAGAGGCAAGCAGGGATCGGATTCATGGGGAGGGGGCGTGGGGCTCTCTGCTTCAGGGGGAGGTAAGGGTGGTGGGGTTGCAGTCTGATGGAGGGCTGGAGTGGGACAGGCAGTGTGTGAGGATGTAAGAGTAGCAGCCATACCAACAGGAAGTGGGGGAGATGGCAGAGGCTGCGTGGTGAGACAAGGCTCCTTCAGGTGGTCTTCAGAGCTCTCTGGCGAGTCTTCAGAGTTTATCGTAGGACTATGATCATTTGATTGGTCCTCCTCCCGCAAGTTAGTCCTGTTCTCCTCAAAACCATCTGCAGACGTGTGGCCCACAACAGCCGAGGGCTCCAGAGGAGAGCGACCCTCCGGGCAGTGCTTATTGAGATTCGGGTCACTGGAGGTTCGTGTCAGAGGTGGCCCGTTCTCCAGTGCTGACAGCAGGTTGTCCATGGAGCGAGTCTTGGGAAGTCTGGACATCAAAGGCACACGTTTCATTTTAGTTTTTACACATGTAGAAATGACAGATTTGGACTCTAGGTGGCGGCCAAACAACAGAACTCTGAATCCTACTGCTAGGCTGATGCAACATGCAGACGTACCTGTCCAGAGAGCGGGAGGTAAGCTCGTCTCCCACCACACAGGGAGGCCAGTAGAGATCAACAGATTCATCCACTGCAGTGCAGGGAGAAGAAGTGGGTAGGTAAACAGCTGTCCACAGCTGGAGTGCTCGCGTATGGCAGACAGGCTGCAGCACCTGGCAAAGGACGAGCGACAAGGACACTGTCAGGAGTTCAAAACTGAGTAATGATGCCGTCAGCGATGTGTGAAAACCTTTGATCAGATGATTCCTGTCAACCTATCAGCTGCTGTTAAAACGAGTTCTGTTCTCACCACTTCATGACCGGGTACGTAGAGAAAGTTCTGGAAGTTCTTGTTTCCCGCACGGAGGAAGGACCACACCGAGCATGTGCGTTTATAGATGTTCTTAGCCTCCCTCTCACGAGCATTGTTGCACAGGAACGTGCCGTAGAGACATGAGTACGTGTGCTGCACCAACTTGACCTGGACAGGACGAGAAGATTCACCATTACGTCCCTCTCCTCATCACGTGATCGGTATTCTAAGGTTTGTGGGAGAAACGGCCACAGAGAACATATGAATCACCAGAACCGCCACCCACCAGGAAGGCTTCATTGAACTCAAACAGGCAGGGAAACTGTTTGAGCAGCTGGTGAACACAATCGAGCCACTGCAGGAAGACGGGACACTGCTCGCTGACGTCGTCCGTGTTCTCCTGGTGGCCACATCGGTCTCCAAACTTATGGCCATAATCCAACCACTCTGTTTCCACAAGCACCTGGAAGCCCTGTGGACGACATGAAGTCAACCGTGACGATTTCAGTGGTCTAAATATTGCTAACATCCCACTGAAATCCAAACATCTGTGCTGGTAAAGCCAGGAAAACCCTTACCTCTAAGGTCCTATAGTAGGGGTCCAACAGAATCTTGGCGAGGGCTGCTATCTGGGGCGTGCGGTCCCACCCATCAGAGCAATGTATCAGGACAGGCCGGCCCTCCCACTCCACAGCCGAACTCACCAGAGTGGCTGCCTTCAACATGACGGACAGGTGCTGCAGCCAGCGGGTGCTTTCAAGAGCAGAAAGCCAGCTGCAAACACAAAAACTCAAATGACACAACTGACAGACGTATTTTTGTCTGCTGGGGGGTGATCTTTGTAGAGCGCGCTGATCTTTGCAGCAAACCACAATGGATTTAAACAAATAAGCTTAACATTAATGTCTACGATTATTTTCATTCAGACTTTTTTCATCAACTCATTCGCTGCCAGCCGTTTCCTGATCACTAACGGCCTTCGCTGCCAGCGTTTCTCACCGTTTTTACTGTTTTTTTAAGAGTGACAGAACGTTGCGCGCTAGCATGATGTCGACGCCAAACCAACCAAAACAAAGCGGAGACTCGCCTCTTACATCAGGAAGAAGCCGCGCGTTTCGAGCGTTATCCATTCTTTCATAATCCGTTGTTGAATTGTGATCGGCAGACGCTTTTCCAGTTCGCGCCTCACTTTTTTTTACAGGAACGGCCCAAAACGATCTCCTAACACATGGATGTTCTGCTTCCTGATCATGTGATCTGTGACGTATGCGGATGAAGATCGGCTTCAGGGCTGAGATGTTTGCTCTCTCAGCGCGGGGACTCGTTCCGATGCTCAAACAGTAAAAAAAATGCAAATGACGACTTTAGTCGTCATTGGCAGTGAATGAGTTAAAAAGCAATGATTTCATTTTTTAAAATACTCATGTAATTTCTGTTTTCTACGTCCAAATATCTTGTGTTGCCTGTAACTTTAAACTGTGTAGTTTGTCCTGAAGTTGAAGTGGTGGCAGCCAGCTGTTTTTCCTGTTCTGATATTATTGAGCGGAGAACCTCTCACACCACCGGTGACTGCTAACTGTTGCAAACTGCGGAAGTGCAGTAGTTCGGTGTTGGACAACCGGACGGTCCAATTGTTGGTGTTGGGACAAATGCAATAAAATAAAATAAAATAAAAACACTTCATTAATTTTTCTAATCTCCACAATATATTTACAGCTACACTATGTTTGAATGTTAAGAGGTTTGAAATATTTGTTTGAAGCTAGCTAGTTTTGCATATTTTCCATTGTAGTTTTAACATAAATGTGCAAATTATTTTCAATTTAAACAGTTTTAGATGATCATCACTTTGTTTTGTGAATGCTCGCTAAATGGATCAGGCTCAGAATGTCGCATTAAATACCGTCCAAGCTGAAACGTACTCTGTTAAGTTTCTGACAAACAAAATGTGATTTTAAAACACCGAGCATCTTTCATTCTGAAATTCATCAGATTTTTTTAATCATGCTTGAGCAAAGGTCACAGCAGTAGGTTATTTTTCTAGCTGTAGTTACCACAGCGAGTAGTGAGCAACCCTCAGAGACTGTCGTTCTTGTAGTAAAGTTCCCACATATCAATTCTTGTTACTCTAAGGTTACTTAGCAACAGTTTAAAAACAGATATAATCGAACACAGGGAGCCTCTGACCTACTTCTGTATCACTACACACCTCAATCACAACAAAAAGCCTAAAAATAACCTGCAACACTCTAGCTGCTGGGATCGCTCGGGTAGTTTATATTTATCCTCTCAGTAGCAGAAAACTCATTGAAAAACAAACGCAGTCACTGAGATGGTCATTTTAGTCTGGTGTTATTTTACTGCATGCATCAAAACAAGACCGGGGGGGGGGGGGGCTAAAGAGATCGACTTACTTTCCGGGATCCGGGATCTGACTGCAGACAGCCCTCAGACCCTGGAAGCTGTTGCGGATGGCATGGATGTTGGCCATCCCCATGAACATCACCTCACAGTTCGGGTAGTACTCTAAACACAAAAACAACTCAGATGTAGGTCAAACTCTGTAGGATACCAACAGCATTCAGCCCATCTTTAAATTACAGCTGGGGTGACCATCAATCAAGTTTGAAGCACTGAAGATGGTGTTTGAAACTAGAAAACAAAAGTCAACAACTACTTAATTGAAAAGATTTCATAAACGTTTGATCACACTAACCCTCGCATTCACAGCCTCCACCCTTGGCTCTGTTAGCCACTGCAGCAGTGTAGGAGCGAGCGTCAAGGATCAGCAGCTTTTGTGGTACCGAGCTGTCGTCACTACCAGAAACACCTGCCAGAGACGAGTCTGAGGAAAGAGACAGCAGGACAGAAATCAAGAATCAGCAAAGTGATGTGGACACAGACTAAAAACTATATGTAAGCAACTGAAAGTCAATATTTCTTCCTGATGACGACTGCTGGAGGTCTGCTAATATTGTTGTTGGACTGATGGTGAGTGATTGCTCACTGAACACTCTGCACATGTGTCTGAAAAAGTCTTAAACCGCTTTCAGCTCTTCACACTTTGACATGTGGTGTCATTGCCAAAAAGTGAAAATCGCATTAAAAAAGGATGTGGGGTTGCTTGTGACCAGATCTCATTCTGAAACTTTCCATAACCCGAACAGATTTCTTTTCTAACACCGCAGATCGTCAACAAAAGGACCAAAAATACAAAATGATAAATAAATGCTCTAGTAAAAACTGGTGATGCTGCTGAATGAGACTAAAAGAAATAAACAAATTCAAAATAAAGAAAATGGAACACATTTTGACTTCTATTAATGAAACAGATAAATAAAAATAGAATGTGGCTTCTGCTTCAATAAAGTAAACGCACAGACCGAGTGTTTTCTGCTAAAATGTTTATGTTTTAGTGGGTTAAAGCAGCTTATTTTTGCTGCCTGTCTTAATGCCTATTTCTGAAAATTTCTTCTTTGCCTTCATGCAACATCGAATCAAAGCTTAAAGCAATACTTAAGCATTTTAAACAGTTTAAGTTATTGCTTTCTAACTAGTGTCAGTGGTTCTTGAGGCATAAACTTGAGCAGCTTCACATTGAGCAGCACTCTGCAGCCCTCTGCTGACCAGAAACTGCACTTCACAGTTTTGTGGTTCAGGTCGGCACCAGTGGAAAGCGCTCTACCGGCTTTATAGCAGTAGCTGTTTAGTGTGCTGGTAGCTAATATGACTAGCAGTTCGCTTTTTCAGTTCCTCGACTGTCAACATCATGACTGAGCGTGGAAGTATAAGTAAGCAAGTGATGTTTTTGTAGGCAAAGCAAAGACATAAAACCAGAGTGAACATTAGCGTGGCCTACACTCACTCGAAGCTGAAGAAGGCTATGAAATCACAGACTGATTGTGACCTGGCTTTGTTGCTACTGGACTTTTAAGTAATATTACTGTGGCTTATTTAGTATCAGGTGGTTCATGTTAGTGTAGGCCCATTAGCACGGTCTACGACAGGTTCATGACAGCTGTAATTCTGCTTTCAACCAGTAGGAGGGAAAAGCAGAACATGTATTTGGTAATGCTTTAAACATGTTGCGTAAGACTGTTGGGTAGGATTTTGTTAGTGAATTAAACTGGCACTTGGCTGTGGTTTTTAACCTTTTATTATTTATTCCTGAACTGCTTGTTTTAAAGTCATGTTTTTTGCTTGCCTGTAGCCCTTTGAGATCTCCTGCTATAAAGGGCGCTGTAAATTAAATTCATTATTAAATCAGAAACCATTATATTTAAAAAATGGAGACAATATATTAAGCTTTAATTATTTACTCGTGATGCACAAACTCCAGACACGAGGTCTTCATGTAAGAATGGGATGTGTAAAACAGTATTAAAACCTCAGCTGAAAAAGGTTTTTGAATTTTCACAGCTGGATTTGGAAGAAAATCCCGTGTTTTTAAATAGCACTCAAAATAAAAGATAGCTTCCGATCTGAGCCCAAACCAGCTGATGACATCCTGCCGGGAACAGTGGCGGTGTAGGTACCGGATCTGCTCGGGCTGCCAGACTGGCTTAGGGCCCTGCGCTTGCCAATGATGTCACAGTATAGACACACCAACCGGCTTTCACGCATACATTTTTGAAAAAGTTTAGTAGTTTTGTTAATAAATTCTTGTTTCTTATTGCCTAAATGTTTTTATAGCTGTAATTTGTTAATAAATCATATTGTCTTTATTTTGTAAATTATGTGAAACTACACAAAAGGCACAAGAGTCCTTATAGGTGAAAATTTTTAAATGTATTTATTTAATTAGAATCCATTTCCATTTGTATAAATGTGGAATTTCTTCTGTATATTTGACAATTCTGATGTAAATATAGAAATCCATTAATTCAAAATGTTTGCCACTTGTTCAATAAAGTTATTTTATTTTAATTTGGCCCGTTACATCAAAACCAAGAGCTGCTGAAGGTCTTAGTTTATCAGTTGATATTTTGTTTTAAATTTTACATTTCCTTTGGCAATACAAACATTTTCCCTGAAGTGTTTGGACCAATCAAAATTTGCTGCGTCAACGTGGTACCGTACCTTCCGTAAGTCCTACGTTCAGCCAATTAAACATTAGTCAGATGCAGCTTCTGAAACCTCTGATAGTCAGTCACTTTTTTCCCTTTTAGATACAACGATGAGACGTTTAACCAAATTCCGACCAGCTGGAAGTGCAGACGTGTTTGAGACTGACTCAGAAGGCCGGCAAGTCAATATGGACACCAAGGGGAATTCTGTACATCTTCAGAAATTGGTACCATTTGTTTACTTTGTTGAATGTTAAATTTTCTCGTAGTGCTTCTACCGGGAGCTTGCTGCTGATGAGTTCTTAGATGACTATAGGTCTTAGCTCCATCATACTGTCCCAATAGGGAGCCTAAGTCTCCTCTCTTTCTGGTCGGCTCAGGGGTCCCCAGAAGAACGAAAAAATTAGGGATGTCCCGATCCGATCACATGATCGGAAATCTGCCCCGAACACGTGGTTTCAGAGTGATAGGGACTTGGGCTTTACTTCCCGATCCAAGCCCCGATCCGGAGTTGGATGCTGGGTTCAAATTACAGGAGAGCAACTTGGTTCTCCTTAAAGGTTGCCAGGCTCCCCTGATGCCCTTAACTTACACACCCAGAAGGAGCACAGAAAAGATCCAGTTTCTACCTTTATTATATTATTTATATGGACTCAGCGTAGCGGGGATCCTTTTGAGCAGAGCAGCAGGCAGACCGCTGATTATTCATGAACTCCAGCTGCGTTCTGCACACGGCCACAGTAACATTTTCTAAGTTTCTAAGTGGCGTCACCAAAAATATATAATTAACACACAGTCGTTCGTGTCCGTTCATTTTCTCTCTGGTAAGTTCCGTCTGTATTTGAGCATGACGTGTGGACGCGCTCGCGCTGCAGCACTCGTCACTGGCGCAGCCGGGCAGCGCAGAACACACTCTGCTTTTTTTGCGGTCAATAGATCAACTTGATGGGCTAGTTAAAAAGTTACTTGTGAGGTGAAAAAGAAGGAAGCAGGCAGGAGTTTTTCTGGAGGACTGGGAGATGCATGAAGATCAGAGACAGACAGGACAGGAAGATAGAAAAATAAAAACCAAGAAAACAAAACAAAGTTCTTAACAAAATAAAATGTAGGTAGATTTATCCCACTACACATTTGTATCTATATAAAGCAATAATCTATCAGCATGTAGTATTTATATAGTTGATACGATTCAGATCATCTTCAAAACTCCGACCCATGCCCAGGGACGTATCTAAGCATTTTGGGGGCCGAGGCAAAGTAGACCCCTGCCAGGTATTTTAAGTTGAAGTGCTATCTGTTGTTATGTTAGACTTTTTATATTTGTAATAAAGACCAAAAGTGAAGAATTTATGTTATTTGTTACTTGATTGTTCAAGCTACCTCACAGAAGTGATCTGTTGTTAAAATAAAAATGTAATTAAATAAAAAATAAGGAACATTCTGGAACTGTTTCTTCCGTTCCTTTATTTTTTATTATGTATCGAAAGTATCGGATCGGGACTCGGTATCGACAGATTCTCAAAATCAAATGACTCGGACTCGAGGGCAAAAAAAACCTGATCGGGACATCCCTAGAAAAACATTAATGCAAGTCAATGGGGCTAAAAGAGCTATTTTCTGGATCACACATATGTTATACCTCTTTAAATGAAAAGTAATGACGGGTGTTTTGACCACGTCAGTGACATACTTTGAGATTGATCAGCTTGTAAAAGTTTAAATCTCTTCTCCTCCAGCGTAGCTGCTACTTGGTGGTTGGTTCTTTCCTCCTGAAGGAAGGATCTGAAGTTCACTGATCTCACAGCCATTTTCCCTCTGTTTTTCTCTCTGTTTGGTTTGATGATGTCACTTTTGTGAAGCGTATTTGTAGTCCTAACCTAAAATGGCATTTCCCCCTGTTCAAAAATAAGCGCTTTCTTGGTATCAACATGCGTCTTTAAAATTCACGAACATCATATGTGAAATCCATGGCACATAACAAGCGGAATTAGAAAATTGCCTTTCAGCCCCTTGCATTCCTTTTTTGTTCTCCTGGGGAACCAGGGTCCGGAAGTAGATGGGCGTAACTTAGGCTCTCTAAATAATCCAATAACCTCCAGAACAATAAAACAATGAGCTGCCAGTATTACCACTGTGTACAGGTGCTGGCCAGTAAATTAGAATATCATCAAAAGGTTGAAAATATTTCAGTAATTCCATTCAAAACGTGAAACTTGTACATTATATTCATGCAATGCACACAGACCAATGTATTTCCAATGTTCATTACATTTAAATTTGATATTTATAGGTGACAACCAATGAAAACATCAAATCTGGTATCTCAGAAAATTAGAATATTCTAAAGGCCAATGAAAAAATGTTTGTTTCTCTAATGTTGGCCAACTGAAAAGAATGAACATGAAAAGAATGTGCATGTATAGCACTCAATACTTAGTCGGGGCTCCTTTTGCCTCAATAACTGCAGTAATGCGGCGTGGCATGGACTCGATCAGTCTGTGGCACTGCTCAGGTGTTATGAGAGCCCAGGTTGCTCTGATAGTCGTCTTCAGCTCCTCTGCATTGTTGGGTCTAGCGTATTGCATCCTCCGCTTCACAATACCCCATAGATTTTCTATGGGGTTAAGGTCAGGCGAGTTTGCTGGCCAATCAAGGACAGGGATACCATGGTCCTTGAACCAGGTGCTGGTGGTTTTGGCACTGTGTGCAGGTGCCAAGTCCTGTTGAAAGGTGAAGTCTGCATCCCCATAAAGTTGGTCAGCAGCAGGAAGCATGAAGTGCTCTAAAACTTCCTGGTAGACGGCTGCATTGACCCTGGACCTCAGGAAACAGAGTGGGCCAACACCGGCAGATGACATGGCACCCCACACCATCACTGACGGTGGAAACTTTACACTGGACCTCATGCAACGTGGATTCTGTGCTTCTCCGCTCTTCCTCCAGACTCTGGGTCCTTGATTTCCAAAGGAAATGCAGAACTTGCTTTCATCAGAAAACATAACTTTGGACCACTCAGCATCAGTCCAGTCCTTTTTGTCCTTGGCCCAGGCGAGACGCTTCTTGCGCTGTTTCTTGTTCAAGAGTGGCTTGACACACGGAATGCGACACCTGAATCCCATGTCTTTCATGAGTCTCCTCGTGGTGGTTCTTGAAGCGCTGACTCCAGCTGCAGTCCACTCTTTGTGGATCTCCCCCACATTTTTGAATGGGTTTGTCGTCACAATTCTCTGCAGGGTGCGGTTATCCCTAGAGCTTGTACACTTTTTTCTACCACATTTTTTCCGTCCCTTCGCCTGTCTGTTAATGTGCTTGGACACAGAGCTCTGCGAACAGCCAGCTTCTTTAGCAATCACCTTTTGTGTCTTGCCCTCCTTGTGCAAGGTGTCAATGATTGTCTTTTGGACAGCTGTTAAGTCAGAAGTCTTCCCCATGATTGTGGTGCCTTCAAAACAAGACTGAGGGACCTTTTAAAGGCCTTTGCAGGTGTTTTGAGTAAATCAGCTGATTAGAGTGGCAGCAGGTGTCTTCTATATTCAGCCTTTTCAGAATATTCTAATTTTTTGAGATACCAAATTTGGAGTTTTCATTAGTTGTCACTTATGAATATCAAATTTAAATGTAATGAACATTGGAAATACATTGGTCTGTGTGCATTGCATGAATATAATGTACAAGTTTCACGTTTTGAATGGAATTACTGAAATATTTTCAACCTTTTGATGATATTCTAATTTACTGGCCAGCACCTGTATATACTGATATAACTCCATACATATATATTTTTAATATTCAGTCGACATCTTACCAGAATAATTTTTTGAGGTGCATATGGTAAAGTGTAGTTACACTGAATTTCAACAGTTTTCATGCAGAGTCTGACCAATATCTTAAGAACAGCAACTTTACCAAAATCACTGTCAGAAGGGTCTGGGGCGTCCCCTCGCTGTCGGTTGACTGTTGTTCCTTTGGCTCCGGTGTCCATGTGACATGCCTTAGCTATGGACGTGACCAGGTACTCATCATCTGTGTTTCTCCAGCCCCACCAGCTGATCTCAGGCTGGCTGCAACGAGCAATCACGGCTCCATTCTTTTGGTGCCTGAAAAACAAGCTAGATTCAATTCTAAGATCCATACTACAAAAGGCTGATGCTCAGCCCACCATGAGTCTGGAAACCGCACCTGTAGACCACCACAGGTATCCTCTTCCAGGACCTGAAGGAAGCCACACTCTCCAGCTCCTTATCTGTGATCCATATTGGAACCAGAAGCTTCTGCGGGTAGCTGGAACACAACCTAGTGGAGAAGGTGAGAGTTTATTTTTAATGCTGCTCTGACAGAAAACCAATCTCCGCATCACTGCCACTCCATCTGTCTCTGATCTCCTCAGTAACTCTCCCATGATACATCTTCAGTTCCTATTCACCTGCTGAGAGACGGGCTGTGTGAGGAAAGTAAAACATTAAGCTGAGTCATGGACCTCAGCAGGTGGCTGTTTGTGTAATTAGTCAGTTGTCCTGTGTGTCCGTCTCTCTCAGCAGCATGTGATCTTCAGGAAGACTGACCTTTTTATTGCAGGATCACAAAGGAGACACGATGCACCGACTGAATTATCTGTTATGCTTAGTCTTTGGAAACGGTTGTGTTACTACTAGGGATGTAAGAAAATATCGATATGGCAATATATCGTGATATTTTTTCCTGCTATTATTACATCGATATTCAAAAGCCGTGTATCTAATTCTTGAAAAAACTAACATGCAAACATTTGTTTATTTTCTTTTCGTTTTGTGCAATTCAATTGCCACCTGCTAGTTGGCAGCAGTGTGCAATGGGTTTTGTTTCCACCATTGAAATGTAAAACCCTCCATCATGGTTCAGATACCTCATGTTAAACATGTTACGTATCAGTTTGGACTGTTTATTGAACATTCTTACAAAAAATTCAGTAAAAAAAAATTGCTTGTAACGTCTGACTGAATGTATCGCAATATATCGTGATATATCGTATCGTCTCACCTGTATCGTGATATGTATCGTATTGCCAGAATTTCACCAATACACATCCCTGGTTACTACTACTACTAATAATAATAATTGGTTTTATTTTTAATCTAATTATTCAACACAGTTGGTTGTTTTATATTGTTACTTCCTCAGGAAAAACACCCCCTAAGTGGTTTGTGGCTTCATGCATGCATTTTTCTGTCTAAGCTGCAAATCGTCTCGCCTGCCTAGCAAGCTGGTTGGGAGGGGGGCTGAGTTGGACATGATGGCATGATTCTGTTGTCTCTGGGTCTGCAGTTGTGTACTATATTGTGTAGAAGTAATGCATCTCGAAAATAACTAATATTTCATCAAAAATTACAACTCAATAGTACCAACGGTAATATTTTATCATATGATGTGCCTACCATTGCTCTGGAAGGTGTAAAATAGCATGATACAGCCCCTGTAACGGCTAGAGTCATCTCCGTTTGTCAACACAAATCTCATGAACCACTGGAGGGATTACAAAGAAACTCTCAGACAGTAATCTTTGGATGTACCTCTACAATGAAGGAACTTTCAGATTGTCTTTGACAATAGGCAATTGCTTACTGATAAATAACCAAGGATTAAACACCTGACCTGATCAAGTACACGTGTTCATAAAGAGTGAAACAGCTTCAGCTGAAAGGACATTCTACCGATGATTAATCACAAACTTTTCTTCACACAATCTCCTGTGTTTAGAGTTTAGATCACACACACACAAAAAAAAGAGATGGACAATATATCGGCATCAATATCTGTATCGGCCGATGTTAGTCATTGTTTAACATATCGATATGGGTTTGATGAATAAAGCCAGGCCGATATTAACAGATATTTTTTATATCTTGTCTCCATTTGTTTGCCTGTTTCAGAGGGTGAGGTGTAATTGTTTAGACATGTGAACAGTGAATGAATCATCGCAGAACCATAAATGTGTGTGTTGTGTGTACATAATAATGTAAATTCAGCTTTAATCATTTTCATTCTGTACAAAATCTGCTGATTTTAGAAGAATTTATGTCAGCAGCGGCCCAAAAATTTCATATCTATCACAAAAAAATAAAATAAAATAAAAAAAAGCACAAAAGGACATTTTGCAACTGTTAGCGGCAGCGCAGCTTAAGTACTTTATACCATTACTCTGTTAATGTGACATACTTGTAGTTGCAGTTGATGTCAGACACCCTCCAGACATTTTGTGTGTCGAAGCCCATTCTCCTGACCTCCATTTCCATTCTGTAGCGCACGTGATCGCCTGCTCGGACAGAAAACAATTGGTTTATTAAAAAAATAAAATAAAAACAGGTAGCTCAACATCATCGTGTTGTGGGATGCAAACCTGGGCGACACAGATGAACATGCTGGTCTTCGTCATCTACATTGCCTCCAAGACACCACGCATGATAGGCCAGGGCAAATAAGTCCTCTAACCGAGACGGGTGGGCTATAGCCCGGTTCAGACGCTTCACCCACTCCTGGCACTGCTTGAATGTTGCAAAGTGGCATCTGTAAAAATTATTACATTTAAAGACATCCATAATAAACATAGACCTGCAGAGTTACAGCACCAAAAGCATCTCAAGTCTAGCCTGGCCAGCCAAACTCGTCCTCTGTTTATTTCTACACAGATAACTAGTCTGGATACTCAAGAGCCAGAGAGGCACATGAGGGGTGGGACGAGCCAGCTCAAAAATAACCAGTCAAAAAAAAGGCGGATATGCTGACTGTACTGTAGTTTTCTTTAGCTGTAGTCAAAAATGGCGTCTGGCAATGATGCAAACATTTTTCTTTAGAAAAACGATTTTTAGTACTTCTTGTTGTGGTGGTTTTAAAGACATGTTCAAGTCATTTAGAACAGAGGAAAGAGCCGCAGTAAACGCCGCTTCTGTCTTCGTTGTTTATGAAAAACCCAGCGTTGCGGTGTGTGTGTGTGTGTGTGTGTGTGTGTGTGTACGCTGCTCAGCACTGATTGGCTCGGTTGGAATTCTTAGGTGGTGAGGTTATTTGAATAGAAGAGTTCTCAGACCCATTCCCATAAGGAAGTATGGGACTGGCTGTTCAGACTGTCTAAAGTCCCCACTGTTTATACAACTTTACAGATAATTATACTAATTTCTCCCTTAAACCCTTTTTAGTTTAATGTACATTTTCTTCCATATGTTCTGGGAAAAATTAGGAGTCACAGTGAAATCTAATAAAAAATACACCAATAAAAACGACTACACTGAACTTAAACTTGTCAAGTTTATTATAGCGACATCTAATGGCCCAAACTGTAACCTGCAAACAAGGTAAAGCCTTCTAATGAGCTCAAAAACAGTTTGCTGCAAGTTGCATTCATGCATTCTTTGTTACTTACAGACTATAATAGTAAACAACATGACAGCGAGAGAAAGGTGAGTAGAAGTGTTGTAGGATGCAAGATGCCATTTCTACAGTGACAGTAAAGCAGAAATTCTCATTTTTACACAGTCAAACATGAATAAAACCATTCACCTTTAATTCTGTACAGAGAAACTTGCAATTTTCTTTTGGCATCTGATTAATTATGAAACTAAAAGGGACACAAATGAAATGTCTTATGGTGATGTTGCAGTAAATAACAAGAAGATAAAGTAAATACTAAAATAAATTCTTATTCCGAGTGTCAAAACTACGTAATAAGCTCAGCTGAAGCGTTGGTCTTGGTTGAAAGCTTTGGTCTTTCTGGGAGTTTCTGTGGATAACAGACTTGCTGCAATTGGAACTATTTTAGATGGTGGAAAGAACCATCAGTCATCAGAACCACACTGCCTTTCTCGGATTTGTTTATTTTTAGTCTGAGATAGAATGACAACTGATAGAAAGCATTGATCCTTACAAGAGTATAACAAACAGAAATGAACTTCAGTAACCGTGGTTTCACTGCTGTCACAGATTTTCTCTGTTCGGCTCCACTTTGTACTGGGAGAGGTAAAAATAAAGGTTCTGCAGATACCTCCTAAAGTTTTTTTTTTAGAAATCTGTATATTGTTGATCAGCTACTTGTCATGCAGGCAACACTTTTTGACACTTAACATCTTTTTATTAGCAAACAGGAGCTGAGTCATTTTCACCCAGGAGGGGGCGGGGCTATTGCGCAGGGCCAAGATATTGAATTAAAACTAATAAGAGTTTCTAAAGATATTCTTGTATAAAATATTTAGAAGTAAAGCTTGGTGAACTGTGGTAAATTACTTAAGAAAATTGAATTTTTGCACTGTATATGAAAATAAACACCAAAATCAATAAACCTAGCTCCTCTTCCCACCTGACAACTTTCGAGTCTTTGCAGATTATGTGCAGCTGGAACATATCCCTGTTTTCCACACTTTCTATCAGTCTGAGCGGCACCTGTAGAGGGAGACAGAGAGCATTCATAATCAGCATGATGATCTGCTGACACAGCAGAAAGCACATCTGAGACCATCACCCTCCAGTCCAGCACAGCAGTCTGCGTCCCGACTAGCTACACAAAGGGAGACTTTAAACACAGTTTGAAAGGAGAATACCCCTCTTGGCCTCTTATGAGCCTAAATCACAGCTCTAAATTTAATGCATTCTCTTGTTTTTGCAAAGACTGACACACTTTTGGACCCATATTCATTTGCAGCGTCTTTATAATTGCCATTTCTCTGGGTAACCCCAGTTCAACAATCAGAAAACTAAGTCATTGTCACATTCCTGCTTAATAATAGTGACATGCTTGTTAACCATGTAGTGAAGAGGAGCTGAAGCACAATGCCGTCTGGACTGTGGTAGAGTGTGATGTTTAATCACCGGGTACTCACAGAAATCTCATTGTCCACACCAGGGTAGGTCTAAAGCACAATGATACCATGGAGCCAACACAAAGAAGGGGGGGAGGACATGACAGGAGGAAATGGAGAAAAGAAAATTAAACCTAAAAGTAAATTAAGACGTAAAAAGGGAAATGAAGAGTTAAAAGGGAAAAATAAACACCTAAGAGTGCAGGATGAAAGATAACCGTGAATCACACATACTTGCAACTCATGCCCAAAGCAAATGGAAATCACGGAGAGAAAGACAAACAGACAGGGCAAAGGGCAGGAAAACAGCTTAGAAGTAAGGGGCAAGTTGTGTAGAGAGTTGTAGGTGAGAGGTTGTGGCTTGCTGACATTCATACATAGTGCATCTTTACAGCTAAAGTCAAGGCAGGAGCCCTCAGCTGTATGTGGAATCTGAGCCGACGACATTTAAACCCGATGACTTACTTCCCTTCTTCTCCACTCAGACTTAAACATCCAGGTGATCAGGATTTCTTTCCTTCTGCTTTTTAAAATCCTGTCATTCTTTCCAAAAACCAAATCCCACAGGAAAAAGTGAAAGGATTTTGGGGAAGAAGGAGGAATTTCACTGCCACTAAATGCAAACAATATGCCTGTTTGTGTTGGAGTGAAGGCTGACGTCAGCAGGAGCGCAGGTGGACTTCAGCGCCAGCAGGGGCCGAGCTCGGTGCTAGGATCTCACATTAAGCCTCTCTCCTTCAGAGACTCTGTGACTTCAGTGGTGTAAGCCTGATGCACATACCTTAGTCACAAATATGAAGAAATGCGACTAAAACTACTTTTATAAGTATCTTGACTAAAATTCTCACAGGCTTGTTTTCCTAATAAGCAAAGTTTTGAGTTTACAAAAGTGATATGAGGGAAAGAGTAAAGAGGAGAGGCAACTAACAACCCCTCCTCTCGTCTCCGATTGGCCTCTGCAGTGGCGTGGCATGGCAGCAGCAGGAACCACTCAAACACTTGTGCCATTTCAACCAAAGCTACAGAAAAGTTTGTTTTCCAGTAAATTTAAAGCATGAAACGTGCACTCACGTTGACGACAGAGTCCTTGAACTTGATGTGGAGCCTGTAATTGGAAATGGCAATGATGGCTTCATCTGCACGGCCAAGATATTCCACCCCCTCCCCCTGAAGAACTGGGAATGGCACCTGTGGAGAGACAAAAATCTGTTAAGGTTGGATTATTGGAAAAGTTGCTCCACAATTTTCTAATGGGATTCAGACACTTAAGCAAGTGTGGAAAATAAGAACATTTTAGGAGGAAATGGAGAGCTGATTGAAAACAAAAAACATGAAGGTAAACGGAAAAAAGAAAACCGGATCCATAATTACGTAAAGTAAATTTGCTCGACAGAAAAACAAATCTTGACTGATGTACCCAGCCACAGAGAGAGCTTGTTGCAAAAATGAGGTGCGTAAGAATTTAGCACCATTTCAGCCGACACTGCACATTTTTCATCCATCTCCAAGTAGACACCAACTCACTCTAGTCCCATTTTTAGGAAGGGGGTCACTGAAAACATCTCCGCAGATCTCTTTGTTTACTACACTTCTTTATGATCACTCACAAATGCATATACAATTAGTGCTGCTGCACATCTTTTAAGGAAAACGACACATCAATCACTACAAGTCACATTAATGCCAGCGTCCATGTTTAGTCGGCCAGTTAGAAGAATCCAGAGGTTTTACAGTCATCACTGGTGGCTGGATGAAGAGACAGGACTGAGGGAGGGATCTCAAGACTTTCCATTAACAATCTTATTGTAGCCATTTAATTACAGTCACAGCCAAGTTTCTGGTCTTGGCTGCAGCAAGACCCCTGCATTAATGTAATTGGTTTCCAAGGGAGGTCGATATTTATTTTATTTTTTATATTTAAACTCGAAGTGAAGAATTACCTTTAAAGCACAGTGAGTAAATGAGAAACGGTTAAGTCTGCCAACTTCTAAAGTTTTTGTTAGTGGAGATAAAGTGAAGCTTTTGACTTCTCCGTCTTCAGCTTCTCACTTACCTTCAAGGCAAATGTCACTACACAGCTTTTTTATTTTTTGTTCTGACTGATTAAAATGCTGGGCGTCACCGAGAACCACAAATGGCCTCTCAGAACTTGTTTAGGTGGTGGTAGGGAGGACAACAGCGTTGCCTAGAGACAACACGAGCATGTATTGCTGACTCACGCAGAGCAAGCTCTCCACCCGTGCATGCAGCGAGTAGATGAGGCAGAGCAACCAGGCAGATTGGAAACAACAAGGATCCGTAGTGAAGTGAGGTCACACACAGGATCTGATTGGCTAGTAAAAAGAGGTAGTGAATTTAAGAAAATATGTCACTTTCAAGCCAACGAAAGGTCTGCTAATTATTTAGCCTCAAATGATTCTTCAAATACATTTTTTAAATCAGTTTGACTCTTGCCCTGCTTGATAAATTTATTTCACCATCATTTATAATTTATTTAATACAACAGCTAAAATAATAATGAGGCTGTTAGGTTGAACGAGTCCAAAATGCCACCTTTTCTTACAACTTCCTTCAGTCCTTTAACAACACAGGCCCCAGTCAGACACGCCAAGTACTCTCATAACATTAAATACCACAGTCTCGTCTTCACTCAAAAAATTAAAGTAGACAATGTACAACCTTACTGTTGAACAATACCCACTACTATCTGATCTTTATTGTTTGTAATTATCTTTATTTTATTCACTTGCATTTAAAATATTTTTTTCTTAGTTTATTGATCTTAATTGTTTTAATTTTGATGTGGTTTCTTTGTGAATCCCTATATAAGGTAAGTAAACCTTACTTTCTCTTATTTGTGTTTGTGTGAAAGAGTGTTTTATGCCCATTTGCTACACATTTTTAATGCTGTCAATATATATAACTGATGAATTTAACAAACTTGATGTAATTTTCTAATACTATTTCATCCTTGGTCAGTGTGAAATATTGTCTTTTACTCTAGCCAACACTGCACATGCAGCTGCTCCTCTCAATTTTAAATCAAATCCTCAGTCCAAATAAGACACAAGCACAGCTCAACCTGGGAACTGGAGCACTATACTCAGACATCAGAGGCAAAAATAAGTACCAGGCCTCATCCTGGCACAGCAAAATCAACTTAGATATATTATTTTTAAAATTCATTAACAGCATGTGCCATGCTTTAACGAAAATAAACGGCAACTTTTAAAAATGGAAGATTAAAAAAGCCCACAAAAAAGCAGAGCTGAACAAAAAGAGGCTAATTAAAAAGAAAAGCACATATAAATGCTTTTTTAAATTTCAGGGCAAATTTAGCAAAAGCTTGTGTTAATACCACCTCGACAGCAGCAGATATGATCAGAATGAGATTGTACAGGTGCTCCTTTCTGCTGTGGGAGATACCCAACATGTCCTACTGAGACTATCATAGTTAACAGGCTGTCCAGACTGGGCACTGCATTAAACAAGCTGGGCTCTAAAAGTGGCCGCATGAGTCATGAGCAGCCAGCCGGTGCAGCTGAAGATGCTGTGTGACGTTTCCTCTGTGAAGCCTTCAGCAGCAGAAACATGAAAAAGAGAATCGGGGAGGGGAGGGGGAGGGAGCAGAAAGACCCGCGAATAGCAAGTCGTGACTTCCGCTTCAAGCAGCTTGCATGTCGGAGCATGCACGCACATCTCTGAGTGTGTACAATGGTCTGCAAACACACAAGAGGAGAGGCAGCGAGGTTTAAGCGTTGTGAGGCAGGGAAAGACTGCAGTTTGCTTGGAGAAAAAGGTGTGGCTAGAGACATCAAATATAAGACAGGAAAAAACTAAAACAGAGATTAAATGTGTGACTGGAGTGAGACGGCAAATACATCATTTATAGAATTATTGCAATGAGTTCATTTATAAAGCACCTGCTTCAAACGGATCTCAATCTTTGTACTCGTCTTGACTGGAAACCTTTTAACCCTCTGGGGGTTACACTGGGGACCCTCGCACAAAAAAAACAGTTCAAGGGACCTCTAAGGGTTAAAGAATGGCCCTTTACAAAATAAAAGCGTTAGACTGATTGTCATTTCAATTCAAGCGGAAACATGCTTTGGTTGAAACCCACAAAACACTGGAGAATGACCTGCGGCTGGGCGGATGCCTCCACCCTCCATCTTTCTTTTGTCAAGTTCTCCATAAACACATGATTTGCTCCATTAAGCATCAGGAAGCCTGAACGCAGCCACAAAGGAAAGAGCTAAATCAGACCATCATTGTTCTGAATCTTCATCCAGTAACAGCTTCACAAGTGCTTCTCACTTTGCTATTGTAGAAGAAGAGCACCATTTAATGTAATACTCAAAAAGTCTCCAACAGAAACAACAAGCAGCATTACAGGTGTGAAACTTTTCAATCTCTCAAACCACATGGTCTGGAGTCATATCTGTTCAATTCAGTTCAAGTTTATTTATTTTAGCGCCAAATCACGACAAGAGTCGTCTCAGGGCACTAATATATCTGTTCTGGGCCGCATTAAAGTCCCACTAGTTGTCTCACGCGCGCGGTACGTGAACACCGCAGTACCACCAAAATGGCGAGTATTTTTTTTGTTTTTATTCTTTCTGACTTAATATTAACTGCAAATTATATTATTAATATTTCAACTAAAGCTATTACTGTTCAAACAAAACACCTACTTTTTATCTCGCATAGAAAAATAGACAATTTCTAATGATTCTTTTCTCCATTTGGAAAATGTGAAATTTAGATTTATTATGCGTTGTTAAAAGTCCAATCATCAGAAGCTCAACTTCAAGTCTCGGGGTCAAGCTGGACGCTGGACTCACAAAGGCCCCACAGATAAACTCCGTAGTGAGGTCTTGCTTTTATTAGCTTCGCCGCCTTACTCGCCTCAGACGAATCCTGAAACGGAGGCATTTGGAGTCAGTCATCCATGCCTTCATTACCTCTCGCTTGGACTATGCAAACGCCCTCCTCGTTGGTGTTCCAGTATCCGCCCTGAATCGGCTGCAGATCGTCCAGAACCCTGCTGCCAGGTTCTTGACGAGTACACACCGACGTAGCCATATTACCCCTGTCCTGGCACATCTTCACTGGCTCCCTGTCATTTTCAGAGTGCAGTTTAAGTTACTGACCTTTGTATTTAAAGCTCTCAATGACCTGGCACCTCCCTATCTCTCTGAACTGCTCACTCCATATGTGCCCACGCGCAAGTTGAGGTCGGCTGACCTTTTGCTGCTGTGCACTTCGCGGATGCGATTCAAATCGCGGGGTGAACGAGCATTTGTCCATGCTGCCCCAAAGCTGTGGAACTCGTTGCCCATTGGAGTTCGGCAGGCTCCATCTCTGGCGGTTTTTAAATCTCATTTAAAGACCCACTTTTATGCTTTGGCTTTTAGACAGTGACTCGTTTTAGTGTTTTATTGTATCATTGTTTTAATGTGTTCTTAGAATTCATCATGGTTTATCTGCTTTTGATTGGGATTTTTATCCTCTGTTTTAGTTCTTTCGAATGGTTGTGTTTTGTTTTAGCCTGTGCAGCACTTTGGGCAGCTCCCATGCTGCGTTTTAAATGTGCTATGTAAATAAACTATGCTATGCTATGCTAGCTAACAACTGGTTGGTTTAAATTTCTCTCATACCAACATCAATTCTTAATGTTGTACTCAAAAACTTAAGACAAATAACACAAATTGAAGCTTTTAGATAATTATGTGATAACATAAAGAGTGCAATTGATTTAAAAACAAAAAAGGCGTTGTGCTCAGTGTAACTTTGGGGTAGTCCATGGTATAATTTGGTTCTAATTTAGATTTAATGAAAACAACACCTGGGTTGAGGATGGGCAAGGATCACATCAGCATGTCTCATGCCACGTAAAGGCTCTACAACTGTCAGCAACAACTCGCAGACAAAAAGTGGCAAATGTTTTACAAGCTGCTATTTAACAAAGGAAAATAATAAATCTGTTTGTTTCAGTTGGTGTTTGTACTAACCTGCTTTTGGTCCTAATAGGAAAACACATAGCTGCTTCAACACCTCAAAGCTTTACCTTCAAGCATGTATTTAATTTTTATTAAAATGCTCCATAAATAAAAGCCTTATCTGAAACAGCCCAGATCAGAATTACTGTCTAAAAAAAACATGAACCACGTTTAAGAGTTTAGTAGAAATACGTCTTATCAGCAGGGCCAGCAGCTGCATTCATACAAATATTGTCTTTATCAAACTGCATAAACAATTTTCTTGGGCTGGATACTGTGAGGGATAAAAAAATCCTCTCTACTTGATGTGAGGCTGTAAATCTGTCAAGTTCTTACTCCTGCTGCAACATCGCAGCAATCCCCACATGCCTTTCCACCCACGATTGAATCTCAGAGGGCGTTTCAGAGGAACCTTGTAGTTAAATATTGAACACAAGTGAACAATCTAAGAATTTAGGAATGTGTCTTTTTAATCAGTACATTGCTAGATTCCACAGACGTGTTACTGGATGTTTGAGAATACAGGATTTTAAAAGGTTGACACAAACTGTTCGGCTCACCTGCAGACTTTCATCTTCCTTCACCAGTTCCTTCTGGGGGAACAAGTCCTTTGCCTTGATGTACTCCAGACTGGGAGGCCCCTCTTCACCCTGGTTGATATAAACACACACAGAATCCCTCAATCCAACAGTCACAGATGAAGCTAGTATCCACTGTGGTTGAATTTGGCATTTATCTGTGCAATTAGCCTCTCATGTATTAGTAACATTGGACTTTGTGAGGCAAGACCTTTAACCAAACAGCTCTGTACCAAACAAGGGGAAAGTATGGCATATTTTATGGTATGTGCTTTTAAAAATACTCACACAAGACCAGACACTTCCTGCGTTTGTGCTGCAGTCGTGTGCAAACAATGACTAAAGCACTTAGTATTTTTTAATAATTCACACTGGTTTTAAAAACAAATATTTTGATGAATGTGAAATTTAAATAGCAATTCACCTGCAACCAGAAATGTTCCTAAAAAGCCAATAACGCATTAAGAGGTCCTCATCTATTTCTAATGGATGGGCTGCTAAATTTAGACTGCAGTACTGTAAGGAGAGAAAGGCGGAGAGACAAAAGAGGCCGATCAAAGCTGCCCTTGTAGCTAAGGGCACTGGTGACTGACTCAGACTGAATAAACAATCATCAGGTCATTCTTCAGTACAAAAAGAGTCATGAAACTGAAGGACACGTTCATGCCATTTATGCTCATCAATTCTAATGAATCTCAAACTCAAACTATTATTACAAGCATTTAACGTAAGTCGAATTCAGTTTGTTGGAGCTCTCAAGTGGGCTGCGCAGTGGCTAGAGTTGTTGCCTTACAGCGAGAAGGTCCTGGGTTTGCTTCCCAGCCTGGGATCTTTCTGCATGGAGTTTGCATGTTCTCCCTGTGCATGTGTGGGTTCTCTCCGGGTACTCCGGCTTCCTCCCACAGTCCAAAAACATGACTGTTAGGTTGATTGGTCTGTCTAAATTGTCCTTAGGTGTGAGTGTATGAGTGCATGATTGTTTGTCCTGTGTGTCTCTCTGTTGCCCTGCGATGGACTGGCTATCTGTCCAGGGTGTACCCCGCCTGATTGCCCGTTGACCGCTGGAGAGCCTTTGGCTCTGTGGATCATAACATCTTCCTTAGCATGCTCAAACATATAGGACTTTCTCAGGCATCCGTGGCATGGTTTGGAAGTTATATCTTAGGCCGTACACAAACAGTGAGAACAGAGAGTTACTAATCGGCTTCTCTATCCCTATCTATGGGCGTTCCTCAAGGGTCGAAACTGGGCCCAACCTTATTCTAAATCTATATTGATAACATTGTTCATGCTGTTGACAGTTCTCATATACATTTATATGTGGATGACACCATTTTATATTCATGCAGTTCTTCTTTGAAAACAGCTTTGTCCTCCTTGCAGCACAACTTTAATTGTCTTCAACATGCCTTCTCTAACAATCATCTTCATTTAAACACAAGTAAAACAATGTACAAGATCTTCAACCATAACTTACTACAAGCACTTTCCACCCTAGCATTGTTTCCCTGGATGGTACAGAACTACAACTTGTCAGTTCTTATAAATATCTGGGTAGGGCTGCAACAACGACTCGATAAAATTCGATGAAGAATGGCGTTGGCAACGCTTTTCGTCATCGATTCGTTATGTTGTGCAACTTTTTTTCGTGTTGTGCAACCTTTATATAATAGTCAATGCGCACAACTCATCTGATGCAGCAGCAGAGCAGACCAAGGCACATCAGAACGAGATACACATATATGTTGCACGTGTAATTATTGTGTAAGGAAGAGGTCTTTTACGGGCACATAATGTGCTGTAGAGGAAAGCAGAGAAACCAGCAAAGACACGGAGGCAGAAACAGTCCAAAATGTGGTATCAAAAGTGTAACTACAAGCAGATTAGCTAATGCTAGCAGGTAGCAGGCTCACGATCAAGTGGGTTCAGAAAGAACACGATGGTTGTGAAACTAAGAATACCAACACAACTGAAGGAATACGGCAAGCCAGTGTAGCATTAAATTCACAAACGTGTCTATCTGTTAACATAATTTAAACTGGATTATTGTTAACCCGTACATAATAAATATGTCACAGTTACATTTTAAGCAGTAGAAATGAAATATTATTAGCATTTCCAGTAGCTTACTAATGAACATGTTAATGAAACACATTAAAGTTTACTGGTCATATTTTAATTATGGATATATTTAGGTGATACCATGTTATTTTGCATGCTATTGAACAGGTTTCTAATCATGTTCTGTTTTTAAAGTAAAGGAAGGAGAATAAATGTTTCCCTAGCAATGTTTAAATTTGAAAAATGAAAAAAAAGTTTTTTTTTCCTGATCAGGTTTTTTTTGCACTCGAGTCCAAATCATTTGATTTTGAGAATCTGCGGATGCAGAGTATCGACCTGATACTTCAATAAAGAAAGTGTAGAAACAGATCCAGGATGTTTATTTTTTATTTAACTAATTTTATTTTAATAATTAACAACTGTTAACAAACAGATCACAACAATGTTCTGTTGTTAAAGTAAAGGAAGGAAAAAAAAATTGATTCCATAGAAATTTTAAATTTTTGCGTTTAATCCGATCAATAGAGTAGAGACCCCATCCGATTCATCAGTGATTCAAATAATTATTTGTTGCAGCCCTATAGCTGGGTATTTGGCTTGACAGCAAACTTTCATTTGACATTCACATTAATTCATTACTTTTAAAGTCAAGTCAAGAATTGGGTTTCTATACTGCAACAGGTCATCCTATACTCATTCTGCAAAGCAAACCTTGTTCAAAATGACAATCCTTCCCATCTTAGATTACGGTGACATCATTTATAGGACTGCTTCCAAAAAACTTATTCATAAACTCGATGCCATTTATCACTCAGCAAACCATTTCATTGCTGGTGCCCTTTCACTACTCATCATTGTAATCTGTACTCTCTCGTTAACTGGCCATCACTCCATTCCTGCAGGTTGTTACATTGGTATCAGTTCATTTACAAAACAATCATCGGTAGAACACAGTCATATCTTCGCTCATTACTCATCACTCCCAACAACCAGCTCAATTTACTTTCCAGTAACTTAATCTCTATGGTTATTTCCAAAGCTCGCACCTTTTTTGGCCTCTCCTCATTCCAGTTTGCTGCTTCCAACGACTGGAATGAGCTGAAAAAAATCACTGAAGCTCACTACTTACATTCCATTGTCTACCTTCACTAATTCATTGCAATCAATAGTTTCTGATGAATGTGCCTTCTATTGATTACTCAGTGTTTTAAGTGTTTTGATGATGACTTGTACATACTGAAAATGAGAACAATCTACTGTCTTTATGTCTAATTGTTTTATCTTATGTTTATCTTGTATTTTTTTTTATCTTACCTGTTTTTCTTTGATGTAAAGTTAACTACGAGTCTGTTGCTGCTGCCTTTTGGCCAGATCGTCGTCGTAAATGAGAATGAGTTCTCAATCGACTCATCTGGATAAATGAAGGTTAAATAAAACAAAGAATAAAAATACAATATTTTGGATGCTTTGACTTAGATTATTCTACTACACTTACCACTGAACTGCTGATTATTATTGTGTTATGTGTGTAGATTATGTGTTAGACAAATTAAAGTGATGATCCACTACACAAATGGAATATCTCTAAAGAAAACATGCATACAATAATTCTTCTATGACAGCGCTAAAACTTGACATGACTAAAACATGCTTCAGCGCTAACTGCTGTCTGGCATTACTGATGACATCATCAGCTTCAAATGATGCCCTTATATTCACAATAAACTCCTGTTTTTACTGTCACAGATGCACTCAAGGTGAAATTAAAACAGGGACTTTGACAAAATGCTGCATCACTGTAATGTCTGCAGGGAGAGAACAGGGACAGGAAATCCTGCAGTAAGTTTTTTATTCCAAGATGGTTTCTCCCTCTATAAACCTTGTAAGTATAATAACACATAATCTAAAATGAGATCATTTCATCCGGAAACATTTCTAACAAGGAAAAGAAGACAGTATTTTAACATTTGCAGGCATCTGTTTTTGAATATTAGCTTTCATTACAGTCAACTGCTACCAACGTCCGCCCATGCTGCTAATCATTAAATCTTAAAATTATTATTAGAGGAATGTTATGAATTATTTTCTCTCCCAATTTAGATCTTTATAATTATTTATATAATGTGAAACATGATATTAAACAAACACTTGAAGGTGCAAATATGTACGAATGTAGTAAGAAAGACATCCTGTGGTCAAATTTGGGTACTGCAGGCCATTTTTTATGACCAAAAATGAGACTCCTTCCCCTGCTCTGTTAGTTTCATGGCTATGATCTGTTACAGATTAGCGCCAGAAGATTCTAGATGATGAGCAAAGACGAGTCATACATAGTAAGTTGATAAGTAGATAAATACATTATAATATCTGGTGTTGGCACTCGTCTGTGTTTTACAGCAGTGGGCACTTACTACACTTATTACGACAGTATGCCTCCATCACTAGAGGGAGTGCAGTTATTTACCACTTTTCTGTTTGCTTGCTGTTATAGTTCTAAATGACACAAAGGAAGTAAAAAAAATAAACATAATTGTCTCATTAACTTCACGCATACATTTACAGTAGGGATGTGTATTGGTGAAATTCCGGCGATACAATACATACCATGATACAGGGGAGACGATACTATGTATCACGATATAACGCGATACATTCAGCCAGATGATATTAGCGATTTGTTTAGACTAAATTTATTGTAGGAAAATTCAATAAACAGTCGAAACGGATATGTAACACGTTTAACATGAGGTATCTGAACCATGATAGAGGGATTTCAATGGTGGAAACAAAACCCATTGCACACTGCTGCCTACTAGTGGTCGGCGTTTGAATTGCACCAAAAAAAAAAAAGAAAATCTTTGCATGTAAATTCTTTCAAAAATTTGGTACACAGCTTTAGAATGTCAATAAAACATTGCAAGTAGGGATGTCCCAATCAGGTTTTTTTGCCCTCGAGTCCGAGTCATTTGATTTTGAGAATCTGCTGATACCGAGTCCTGGTCCGATACTTT